GGGGATAAAGCAAATTGTTCTAAACGATAGCTTTCACGCGATATTATTAAAACGTCTAACAAATGCTCTGAAACCGAGTGCTCGAGTCATAGTATTGACTACCTACAGACTGGAAGACAAGTTGCTGTTAGCAAAATCAATTGCCTTGTGGGAAGGAATGAGACACAGACAATTTTCTAGGTGATTGTAACACCAACTCTGGAATCCTCTGTCCCAAGTAGTACCTAGAGCTACTTATTGGGCGTTCTTTATATATTCAAGACAAATACTTCCTTAATAAGCTGTATGGTGATGTAAAGACTGGCAAGAAAATGTGATTTTTGTTCTCTCACAGGTGATGATTTCGGCAAGTGCATAATAACACCCTTAATGAATTTATATTAGCTAGTTGCAAGTTAAACATAACGCCCATAATTTACACTGTCATTATTTCGATGTATTCCTGATTGATCCTGACCTGAATTCAGGATTCCGTTTCTGTTCTATGGTCCGATCTCATTTACGTGCACATTTTCCAGGTGTTATTGGGCTATTTCTACCTTTGCTAAAATACTTCTAAAAAAACAGAGCTTTTTACTCGCAGGAAGACCCAGGTACATGCAATAAGCTTGGATTTCCTTTTTCTTGAAGATTCTCAAGGTTTCCAGTGTGTGAATGAAACAGAGAGGGCGATGAATTCTAAAGTATACTACCAATACCATACACCTCTCAATAATCCAATCCACCTGGCTTTAGAAAACATATCCCCGTCCAAGAATTTTCTATTTGTGTACTGGTCTGAGGCTTTCAAGAAATCTGGTGGTATTCATTCATTATGATTGAATGAAACAATTCACCACAAAAGCTCATGTGCATCAGCTAATGACATTAGATGATACAATTCAATTTGCAACTCATACATTGCATCATTATACATAATGATTAAACCTAATTGAGCTAGGAACTGATCTAGTTGTTGATCTTGTTCATAGACAGACTTCTAAATTGACATAAAAGTTTCCCCTCCATCCACATTATCTCAATCTCCAACTCATCTGTCAAAGCAAGATCCTTTGATACACTAGGAAATCCCCTGAGATAATTGACTTCTAGGTTATTTCCCAATCCTTTTATCATACTTTAATCCTTCTATTCAACCAGTTCTTCTTATCTGTTTGTGCAGATACTACCAAAGCAAAAACAAGTCTCGACCCCTGAGATTGTCGGTAAACATGGCAGATGTAAGCAGCACCAATATTCCATCATGTGATTCTTTATTTACATACCTACATTACAGTCTTCCTCACGACAGGCAACCAGTTTGAGAAATAACAGACAAACATCTAGCAACAAGAATCCAGCTCAGCTCAAATGCACCGCTTGTGAAGAGTTTCAAGATTTTCAACAAATGGCTAGACTTCCTTGCAAATGTGTATATTGCAGCACCTGCCTCCAGAGACGATTCGCTTGCGCGATAAAGGCCGAGCTCATGTTTCCTGTCACATGCTGCTGGGATACTCTCAATGTCACGCCCTATTATCATCTGTTGTCTCCTGATCTCATTCGCGACTATGAAGCCAAGAAAATTGAATACGAAACCGTGGATCGTACTTATTGCGCCAACAAAATCTGCTCTGATTTTATCGTCAAGGAAAATATCAAAGGACATAAAGCTTTCTGCGCCAAGTCGCCATGCAATACAATTACATGCACAAAGTGTAAGAGCGAATGGCATGATGGAGAATGTCCTCGCGATCAGAATCAAGAGCTAGTTCTTGCCGAAGCCCAAAGACAAGGCTGGAAACGATGTGCGAAATGTGGTAGCTTGATCGAATATGTTGATGGATGTCTCCAGATGGAGTAAGTCCTCAATCTTTCCTCTCGTTCTCTGTCGTGCTTCCCAAAATCGCAAACTAATTCTCACACTCTAGATGTCAATGCGGCTATGAATTCTGCTATTGCTGCGCCGCGGTATGGAAAACTTGTCGTTGCAAACAAATTGACCTTGATCGATTACTCGGAGCTACCAATACGTATGCAGATAACGAACGTTTCACAGAGGTCAATGAAGATGGTGAAGGCGGTGATGAGGACGGTGATGAGGACGGTGATGAGGACGGTGATGAGGACGGTGATGAGGACGGTGATGAGGACGGTGATGAGGACGGTGATGAGGACGGTGATGAGGACGGTGATGAGGACGGTGATGAGGACGGTGTTGAAGACAATGGTACATACGCGGATGTACCTAAGGATTCATAAAGATAGAGTCGATATTACAAACGGTATCGTAGCGACACAATCTACTGTGGTTCATCGGGATGAGATCTATGATGAGAGGGTATGATAGCCGGTACATGGAGTTGTGGGGAATTGCATACCGTGATTAGAGCGTTGGCTGTGATTCTAAAGTCACATTTATGGAGTGGACATAGTAGTTTGAGAGTTCTGGGTTTGTGATTCACGGCATGGTTTGCGGGCAGTGGTTTGCGGGCAGTGGTTTGAGCAGCTGTAGTAATTCAGCGGGAAGGGTTCGGAGTTTGGATTTTCTTTGCACCTTGTTTCCCATATCGAGTCACTAGAATGCTATCGGTCAAGTGATTTATTGGTAAAAATACAAAGTACTGAATCATTCAAACATGCTCTCGTGAATAGGCACTCTCTCAGGTGCAAAAGCAAAATCATTGTCCATATTTGTAACGGATAGCCGTAATCTTGACAACAAAAATAAAAAATCTATCTAACTAAACGATTCCTAAGTAAAGCTATCTTGACAGGTGTAAGAATATGTAGCAAAGGATATTCTAGATGAAAGCTCGAGTTTGAGGGGAAGGTACTAGGGATATTTCGAAAGCATGACTACTGTCCAACTCAATATATCTGGCACAGACTTGAATGGCTTTCAGAAGCTTTATTTTTTTTTAGGTGTTCTTTGTCTGTAAGACGAAAACCCAGGTGAAGAAAGAATCTCACCTTGACGTTGAAATAGTAGATACGTATAATAGAATGGCCGTGAACTTCAGACCCTCAAAACGGCATTTAATTATATAATCTCGCAGAGCAGGTGTGTTGGTGATAGCAAGAGCTTGACGATGTGAATTTGTAAGAGATGCACCATAGGTTTATCTGAATGTCAAGTTTCCAATGTATTCAGTTGTGTGGAAATATTGAACTATTGAAGATGGAAGGGTAAAAGGGTCTTTCGGGAGTTCGAAAGTTCGAAAGTTCGAGATCACGGTCGTTCAGATATGACGCGCGTATAGAGGAAAACTGTCGGACCATGCGAGCATCTTGCGCATGAGAGTTGAGATCTATGCCATGCGGTGGCAATGATATTTTCTCAAAGGTTGGAGATTACTACTTTGTCGACGTAAAAAGCATGGAGGACTTCGCAGACATGAGCGCATCGATGGCATCGTGTAATAGATATGTAATGAGCAGATAAATACTAAAGTTCTTTAGCTTCGAAATAATTTGGGCTATCACATAACTGGGTCTCTGTCGGCTTGAAAGAGAAAAGTATATCTGCTGTCATGCTTTCATGCATACCTGGAATCAAAAGGAAATGAAGTCCAAAGACTTTGTTGCTGGCGCAGGTTCAGCGCCAAAGAAAAAGAAGTTTCTAGGTGATGGATCGGAACACGAGGGCGTAAATGCTGAAATTTTGCACATGAGAGGAGTAGAGAAGATTCGTCCTGCAAGATTTCAATAAGGCAAATCTGTGATGCTATGATGCGAGCAAAGGTAAAGATTGATTGCGCAGCCTCGCGCTGATGATAAAATATGTTCTTGCTTGATACGAGTGTTGTACATCTCAGTTCCTTACTAACATACCGTCGGTATGGAATTAAAAAGCGTTGTCATATAAGCAAACAATTGATAGATTGAAAATATTCGAGTAAGTTTCCTGTTTTGGATCAACAACTTCAGCACAAAAGTGGGCCCATGGGTAAAAAGAGCGAGAGAAATGAGCAAAAAAAGCAAAAGGATAGGTAGAGAGGTACGTGCAGTTAGTTCAACAATATAGATGAACGCTGTGTACCTAAGCCACGAGGGGACCTCGAAGCTGTCGGAGAGGACGGCCAGTTGAGTTTAACAATATAGATAAACGCTGTGCCCTCAAGCAGATGGATCAGACCATTCCGCTAAACTGTCCGAAGACGAAGGAAACAGCACTATTGGGAAATAAGTATACCAAATTGGATCCCAGTTGATGTTACCTAGCTCAGTCTGCAATCTTGATATTCACTTCACAACATTCACCGGCGACGTCCCTTATTGGATTCATGACAAAGACGCGTCGCTGATAAACAATATGAGGCCGCCGTATAAAGTCGCGTGAATGAATTGAGCTTTCAAATCTCGTGATGTCAACCATAAAGATTTGCTTACCAATTTTAACCGTACCACATCCCATCACCATTCGACCACATCAAAATGAACACTGCAGCGGGCACTGGTCCCCAACATTTGTTTTCACTTCCCTAAATCGAATATATCCATCTTTGTAGAATAAAAAGTTACCTGCTAGAGCCTCTAGAGGCTTAGCCGTCCTATATAGTCTTAGACTGAACGTGGACGTAAATGAAATCAATCAATCAATGAACACTGCAGTTAGTGATTTTTATTCTCTGTGCCGCCAGATGGGCCACCCTCCTCCCACGTTTATCAAGCTCAACAACCAGCCAAAGAACCGCGTTGCCCTAGTGGTAACAGTATTTGGCCAGCAAATTGTCTCCTCGCGTCCAGAAAGCACCTACAAGGCAGCCAAGACTGCTTTGGCTAGAAAGGCTACACATTATCTCAGTGGTAGTCAGACTACCATGCCACAATTGTGTTTGATGCTGTATGTTTAATTATTCATGTGAGCCATCGGCTCTGACTAAATCGATGAATAGGGCAATGCAATCTTCGGAAACAATGGGCGAAGCATCAGTAATGCAAGCGCCTCACAACACCAAGCGGCCAATTTGGCTGTAAGTGGACCACGATACCAATTCTCACGTACCACCGATAAACTGATGGCAAAACGGCCGGCATCTCACAACGCCCTAAGCACCGATGACCAATTATATCTCGAAAAGCACTTCAGACGTCAAATAGTAAGTCAGCTGGGCAGAGCTACTGGTGTTCAGGTCACAGCAGCGGCCGACCTCATGGCTGATATCATTCTGAGGCGTCCTGAAGGACAAACAACGGAGTGGCATGGAGTGATGAGGGTCTTCACGGAGAGATTGGCCCAAAGATTGGATGAGGGCAGTGGCTAGAAGCTGATGTATGTTTCTAGCCTTGGCTGTCTAGAGGTGTAAATCACGGGGATGTAAAATTGGAAGTGGCCAATAATCTGCAAATTCTTGGAAAGTATTTGAATCTGAATATTCACCAATTTAACTCCTGGAGTGAAAATTTACAGAAGGTGAATCAAGCCAATTCATTTTGGTATTGTCTTTATTCTCAAGCGAGAAGAGCCGATCTAACTACCAACGACGGTTCAACTGCGGGGTCTATGTATTAGAACTCTTTCAATATTCAGTCTATACTTCATGCCCGATACTAGATGGCACTTGCTCGTTCCAGGCTCTCAAGCACAATTTCGTTCCTTTCAAGCTTGGATTCGCAACATTGTAATGATATATTCCTTCGTTTCTGCTCTCAATGATACACTTTCTTAACTTCAACAATTGGATCGTAATAATGTACTACCCAGCCTCGAGTTTTGCTGCTATTCTTTGTCAGCCTGGGACCTCAGATAAAACGAGGCTATAGTCTATTATCACCCCTTTCTTGATGTCACTTCTTAGCTTCGACTTCTAGCCCGCAGTGACATATGTTCAGCTTCAGCTTCAAACATTACTTTTGCTGGTTCTATCGAGCTTTCTATTAACTGATTAATATAAAGAGCTGATACTCAACTTCTACGTTCCACAAGTCTCCTCTCGACTTCGGCTGTAGATATTATGGATTTGTTTCCCAGATTCAGCTTTCGATTCAAAAAAACAAATGGTTTATCCTTCATGCTGTTCTTTCAATGCTTCTTCAACCTTTGAACAACTACGATCTCTCTTTACTTTCCTCCCTTGCTTCTGTCTCTTCTTGACACTACGGTGATCGAGCAACTTGTCTTGTTGCGTGCCATAAATCACGTGTCTAATACACACGTGATTTTACTCTTCATGGATGTTATTCAGTGCACTGCTCACCATTCGATCTAGCCCAGATCTACAGCCTAATTTCAACAGCGAAGCTAATGTCTACATGTGCTACTATCTTAGCATAACATGACCGATTGTGCACAACTCCCCCCGTCTTTTGAAGCACTATGAAAGAAGGACGTCGGCATAGGCTGCCATGATAAGAAGAATTACTCATACGATTGCGTGCCCCTTTCTTCATTCCAAATCCGTGCTTGTCTTGCGTTGCCGTGCCAGTGTATAGGACGCGCAATAACTCAGCATCAAAGCTTCTCCAGCCCCCTTTCAATATTTCCCCATGCACGTAACCAACTCAGCTGCAAACTCCTGCAAAGGTCCATATTTTTCATTAAAAACGAGTCCTTCGTCTCCCTTGACGTTTCAGATACCAACAGTATAGATACCAGCCCTCCACTTTCCAATAACATGAACTCTCATGTTGAAGGTCGAAGGATTTTGATACTCCACTCCCCATCTCCCCGCGACCACTTGAATCCTCCTCCCTCCTGTATCGGAAGGTCGGAGACATGTCATATCATGATCATCAGTGATAATACGATCACATGCATCATCTCGCACCTAGACTGCCAGGTTTTTCGGATTCGCAATCTGTCGATCGCGGATATCCTACGCTTCTTATCCATTCTTCATCCCTTGATCGTACATCTCCGTGGCAAAATGATCTCTTCAGCATCCAATGATTGAAGCTGGAAAGGGGCGATCCTATGAATATCTATGCCTCGGTTACTATCCGACATGTACCTCAATCTATGGACTTTTGATCGTTGACGCCGTTGACGCCTTAATCTGATGGATCTACAAAACATCGTTAACCGAAGCAAAAGGCAGCAACCACTAACAAGTCTTGAATTCCTCGCTTCAATATCCTATGGCCGCCCTTACCTTTTGCTAAAAGGCATCTTCAATCCTCACCCCACCGGCCGTACGGCATGACCCCGGTCCCATTACACACCCAATCACAATACATCAAATCTTGCATTTGTCTCTCTGCATTTTGCCCGGCACTTGCTTCAATCCAGACTCCACCGGACTTTGCGTCCCCGCCCACTTAGTAATATTCCCAGTCCGCTCCGCCCCACCACAGAGCCCTGGTTCTGAGACTCGGGCCACCAACCAACCACTGAGCAGATCCAAAATTAACCTTTACATGATCCCCTGTCCCTGTCGCTCAGGTCACACTATTTGGCCTCTTTCCAGGTAAATCTCCTCGCGTGCAGACTCGCTGCAGTTGCTTTGTTTGCCTTATGGACGGTGGAGCTAATTTCTTAGTGCGCTTCCAAGGACCAGGATGGCAGGTTCATTGATCATGCGACTACCATGCGCTATTAAAATCCCAACCACAGCGAGAATTTCCACTAGCACATGCCATGATACAACCTACAGACAGACCTTATGTTACACTAGAGTACCGGCCCTGGGTCAATGTTTTATCGACCCTCCATGGTTGGCGCTTAAAGCTTTGACATTTTATGTTTGTAAATGTCGTTCAGCATGAAGAAAAAAGACCCTTAATTTATGTCAAACTCTAAGCACTCGAAGAACCCTGAGTCTTGAGGTGCTGAAGTGCGAAATAAGGAAGTTGTAAAGTAAAATCGATTACGCTAAGGTTAAGGATGATGCCCAAGCTAAGCGAGAAAGCAAGTAAGGATTTTCATCAAAAATCTATGGGGCGGAAAAACAATTCCCGATACAGATCCACAATCACATGCGTGTGCTCCAAGAGGACGCAAAGGATCCTTATTGTTCTAGAAAAGGAATGGAAGGGAGGAAAAGCCCTAGAGGCTAGGGCAAACCTAGCTAAAACTTCACTTGTAGGAGGAATAGATCAAGGCTAACCCAACTAACCTTTTCTTCAAAATACTTCAATTGACCACTCGCAACAGCTCGTTTGCTTACGAATCTGCATGCATGTTCCTTTCAAACAAGACAAACTACTGTACTCCTTCTCCTCGCGTGCGCCAAGTGTCTCAATTTCTTCTGGAAGGTTGCATGGAAGGCCGCATGTCGTGTTGAACATGTGCTCGTTCCTTCGTCTCTTTTGTATATGTACATATCCTATTAATTTCTTCACACCGCCTCTTTATTTCCATAGCTCCTCATGTACGATTACTCTTACATTTTGGAAGTTGGAACGATATCAATGCATCAGTGCATTAAGATTGGGATCAGGATTCACACAAGCAAGCTCCATCCAACATTTCTTGCGAGAAATAGCAAGGAAATGCCACGCGAGGAAATATTTCATAATGGATCTACTCCATCACCTACAGATAAATTGCGGCATGGAAGTTCACCTGTGATGAGCACCAGTAATATGCAATGCAATGTAATGTCATGTCATGTACGGCGATTTGTTATATGCACATGCCTGCAGGTGATATAAATCTCGTAACGTAACAAAGATCATTTTGGGATATCCATCGCCAATCTCCAGCCCAAACAATAAAAATTTCAGCATTGCGTAGCCTGCGCAACGGAAATCATAAACAAACGTCGTAAATTACCTATAACTTAAGATTTACATGAAATTCATTACCAGCACTAATGCTCCATTTTAAAAGATACTTGCCAGGGATGTTAGTCACAAGATCGGAGAGTTCCGCTCTGTGCGCCAGCGGTTCATTACTCAATCCTAACTTTATACACTGGATCTGCTCATCTTAGCCTGCCTGCTCGAGCATGTCTGCTACCGAATATTCCTGCTGGTATTGTCTACCGAAACGCCTTTACCGAAACTAATCGTCTACAACTTCCTCGTTTGGCAGTGGACGGTTCGGGGTTTAGGACTTTATGATCCAAATCGTGTGCAAAGGAAGTTCGGCTATAGCACTCACTAGTTCTTGTGGGCATATAATCAAAATGAACCACAACCGTTGAATTTCAAATCTTAGCTTACGGGACGAGAGGTAAGAAATTAGAGTCTAGAATATGTGTCCGGAATCCGGATTGAGAATTATGAAAAAGAAGCGATGCATTTACATTTTGAGCCCATTGTGTGGGAATTTGCCGTCGTTTTTTGGAGGTATTTCCCGAGACGAAATTTGGTTTAGACTCTTTGCATGTGTTTTATAAGGATCGTTTCGGGCCGTCCGATGACATCAATTACATAAATGGTCTCGGAAAGCCATCTGTTTTCGAGAGTGCGGCGTGGATTTCCACGTGTGATTTGGGGTCTACCGAAGTGGCAGTTCAGCACGGTAATGAACCAAGCCTCTGGTGTGACAATTCACGAATGGTGTGTATATTGGATTCTAAGAACTAAAGGAGATTGGATGTGAATACGAATCGAGTGGAAGAGGAAGTGCACGAATGCTATTCGACACTTTAATGTTATGTTATAAGATTTAAACATCTTTATTAATACGAACGCACAGTCAGCTCGTAGTATTTCAACACGGGTAGGTACTTGGATATATCCATAGGATGCCGAATAAACATTCAATGCAGGGTCCTACACCATACCAGGGATTTCCTTTCATCTCTCTCCAACAACTCACTCGTCATCCATTTAGCATCGTTCCCAAAAGAGAAATGCAGACTTATGAGCGGAGTTCAGTATTCCACTCCTCTCCTCTCCTCTCCATCATGGAAGATCTTTCTTCCATGGTTTTACTGCCTCTACCCGGGCACACACATCCGACCTTTAATACCTCAACTACCGCCGCACAGGTTTTAACTTTCCAGCATGGACCAAACGTTGAACGCTCAAACTCAAAATATCAAGCTCTCTCCCAAAGATCCACTCTTTCATGTATTACTACAAGACCTTGGAAAAGTCAAATAGATTCAATATCTGTCAGATATATGATTCCACAGCACGGAGCAGATAATGAGCAGGCTTGAGCCGCTACACTTGCCATGGCTTGTCTATACGTAGGAGAAAAAACAGGCCGGAATTGACCAATGCGTAACACCTCTCTCTACGCGTTGTTTTGGTGTGTTTTACAATACTTACGCCGTCAACCTCTGTATAGCTTGTCTACCTTGAGCTGAGCTCATTGGTGTGAGGCACCAGGTACCTACGCCCTTAATTAACACTGCAGCTCAACATCATGATCACCAATCCACTAGACAGCATACTCACTCATGTATCTTGTCGCACAATTTTTGTCACCGCTTGGATTCCATCTCCAAATATTTCCAAATTCCCCATCATATCTGCTTTCTGATATACACGCGTATGTACCATATACGTCACAAATTACAACGTTGCATCGACATGAATCCGGAGAGGAAATTAGGTTAATCTTCGCCTCAACATCGGCCTCCCTCTCCCTCTCTCCCTCTCCCATTTCTTATCTATCAACAATTTCATAGACATCGCATCAAAGGTTTTCCAACCATCTTATCATCAACTGCGAGATATCATCTCGATCTCCAAAATCACGATCAATCGCTCTCTCAACAAACCAATCTCTCCCGCTCCTATCTCCTCCGAAGAGATCTTCATCCCAAACGTCATTCATTCCACTGCTATCTGCACTATGCATGCTCGGCGCCGGGTACACTGTATGTAAGGTGAGGTCATGACATTTTGTTTCTCGTCATGCGTATCTTGAATCGTAGATCTATCATGCCCTCCTCCCCGTGGCCTCTTCCTACCTCTCAAGCTCTCTCTATCAACCTATCCTTCGCAATCACAGAATCTCATAAAGTACCAGCTTTGTAGAAAGTCCATCGACTGTCAATGACTAAGCAGCACGAACACACAAGCCTGCTCCTTACTCATGCACCACCCCACATGTTTCACTTCGTTGATTCATTTCACCTCATTGTTGGATTTTCACGTGGTCTCTATTTATGGGACCGAACAGAACAGGTGGAGAGAAGGGCCTCCCCAGTCTGAAACTAGGGGTCCTCTAATCGTCCTGTACTCCCTGACACCAATTTCCATTTGTGAGTCCTATCAGGTACTCCAGAGATATTAGCCACGATCATGCACAGTGGTTGATCTCTAGAAATCTCGACCACAATCGAATTGAGATACTGTAGATCATGTGCACAAGAAAGGAGCATTTCCACAAGATCGAGTTAGAGCAAAAGATCCAGTAGATCCAGTATAATGTCCATCTTCAATTCCCATACTAATGACCCTATCAAAAAAGAGTAGGGACTTCACAATTTCAAACGCCTCTAGATAATTCAATCCATCCCTTCCATTTTCTCTTCCATCTCGCAAAGCCCAAGCAATCCAACCAACCATCCGTTAAGTTTTTATTCCCATCCCAAACTGTTTTGCCCAACTCCAAACTCGGTACCAAATGAGATTCGTCTTCATAGTGTCAATGATATATCCAAAATGATATTCAATGATTGACCACTCCAATCCCCTCACAATAAACCCCATACATACATGAAAAGTTCGAATCCTACCAATCTATTGAAGCGACTTATAACCCCCAATCTTCGCTATTAATGAACAACGCCTTCGTTTTTCTCTCACAAAATAACTGTAAGATAGGCAGAGAAAACAAGAAACAAAAAGAAAACGGTGCAATTTTTGTTTTTAAAAACATGAAAAAGGAAAATGAGTATTAGGCTCTTGTAATGTACGGGGAAAAAAGTAATAGACGTATGCAAGTATCAGCCAATGACTGATCAGCCGTCCTTCTGCTGAAGTTCCAATGGACAACAAATATATATTTGCGTTTGCGAAGTTACGTCACCATCGACTGAAAGCCATCGTTTGCGTCCCTCGTACCAATTCAATCTATGTCGGGGTATAATCTCTATACTCATCTGTATGATTCAGAACTCCGCCCAATGCAATCGTTTTGTTTTGGAAACGCCTGAGAGAATTTGAAAAAAGGACTTTGGGAAATTCGTTACTCGTGAGGTGGTAATTACCGGGATCGAAACTGAAATAAATCGCGTGGCTTATTTCGGAAAATCGTCGGGAGCTCGAGTAGAGGATAGATCACATCATGCCTTCTTCACCAATACCTGGTAAACCTCCCATGGGGACTCCGAGACCTGCCAATCCAGCAGCAGCCAAGTGGTTGTTTAATTTGAGCTCGGGGTCGCACGGAGTGGAATGTTGTTTGTGCTAAATTTCATTAGACGTCAAATTCTCTGATTCTGAAGAATTGATGATACTCACATATTTGAGACCATTCAAGTTCTTATATCTCTTGCCACAATAATCACACTTATAAGGCTTCTCTCTTTCCATACCTTCATTGCCTGAATAAGGAATAGAAGTTTCTGGGTTGACAATCGAGAATGTACCGTCACCGTTTTCGTGCAACTGTTGGGTTTGATGACCGTGCGTCTTGTGATACCTGAACAAAATTAGTATAAATTTATATCGCACAAGGTAACAATGCTTACTTGAGACCATTTTGATTCTTGTAGGCCTTTTCACATCCGATGACGGGGCATCTGAATGGTTTGTGCTCTTCTCCCATCATCATTCCTGTAGGATCTCCCATTCCGTTCATGCTTGCCATCAATTGTTGTTGTTGGTATGCTCTCATCAAATCAGAGTTGTTTGTAAATTGTCCTTGTCCTAGCCCAAATTGAGCAAATTGTTGTTGAAGGGCTCTTTGGTTGTTGAAACCACCACCATTAGGACTATAGAGACGCTTGGCGGGTTCATCGATACAAAGGTCCAAGCCTAAATCATGTCCGCCGAAATTGAAAGGGAAATTCATATTATTCATATTCATATTTCTATTCCCCATATTCATATTCATAGGCATGCTTGTAAAGTCTCCATCCATTTCCGATGGGGTACCGGGAGCCGAGGTATCTGGTGAAAATGTCTGTGATTGCTGCATGGGTTGTGCTGTCAAAGTAGGGGTATTAACAGAAGAAACGGTTGGGTTATTTTGGAATCCAAAAGAGGAAGTTGCGGGAGTCGGTGGTTGGGATGCTCGGAGACCAGAGTGTTGCATGGTGGAGTTAAGATTAACGGTGGGTCTTGGTTGTTGGCCGAACATAGACTGTTGTGCTGCTTGCACAGGCTGATGATTATGTGAAGATTGAACCGGTGTATCCGGGGTGGAATCCATAGGTCCGATAGCATCGTCCATTTCCATATCTTCAACTCCGTCCATCTCATCAGTAGCACCTTGATTAGTTTTTTGTACAGGAGTAGCTGGTTGTGAGCGTTGCTGTTGTCGCATCAATTGAATACCTCCTACACTGGCTCCGGCTTGTGGCATCTGTAAGCCCGAAAGCCGAGGCTGTTGTGATGGCTGGGTTTGTTGCTGCTGAGTATGATGTTGTGCGGCGGATGTGTGTTGTGCTGCAATACCTGCTCTACCGTTGGGTGTTGAGTTTTCCCGAGCTCGTACAATGGATGAATTATTGCGAAGGGATGCTGGGGTCTGTTGCGCATGACACTCTTCGTAATGTTGCAAAAGGTCATGTAGTGTTGGTAATGTATTGCCACAACAGCTGAAATCTTTCATAAAGTTGGCTTCGAGCTTGGGAAGATATGAAGAAGAATGATATGAAGGTGATTGATATGGAAATGGGGAGGTGCCGGCCATGATAATACTAATCAAAAATTGTCAGTGTCATGAAAATGGAAATGGAAATCGTGTGCCCCGCACTTGCTAGGGAAGATGGAACATTCTCGTTTGGCCATTGCGATGACTGAAGAATCTAATTCTATGAATCACGAAATAATTGAAGCCACACAATGGCAAAGGGAAGAAGATCGGATTAAACTCACTCATCTCGAATCCAACTTCCAACAGATACGCCTCCCCAGCTCATACCTCCAACGAGGCTACCTGCCAAACTTTCGCGACGAGGACGATCATTAATTCTATTAGGATTGTGCATAGATATGGGTTTTGCAGCAGCAAACGATTCTTGTCTGGATCGACCCATGTTATCGTCGAATCCTGTGCCGGTCGTCATGATTCTGGCGGAGGTTTGTGAATCCGGGTCGAGATAATTGGAATTATTTTTGTTGCCTTGGGATGACGGAGATGACGATGTATTTCTGGTGGGCGTGGCAATATTTATGGGTGAAGAGGTTGTCGTCATGTTAGATTTCAAATTATAGTTATAATCGCAATCCTCTGGAGTCGGAGGGAATGAAGCAGTATTGTGTGAATCTGGAGAAGAATGTGAAGATTCTTGTGCTTGGATATGTAATGTAGAAGAGTTGGAGTTGCCTTGGTGCTCGAATTTATTGGTAGCAGTCGAATCGATAGGTATCGAGTCCGTGTGGGTTTCTTCGCATGAGGCGGCGTGGGATTGTTTGAACCAATCAGAGAGAGGCATAGAGATATTAAAAGTGGGTCTGATCTCCGCTACTGGGATTATCGAATTAGCGTCTAATTGAAAAATTGTGGAAAGGAAGTAAAACTAAGAAAGCCACTAAAGCACATTTAACAGTAATGAATTCTTGTCCTTGGTGCGGACGGTGCATGCCACTTGTACCAGGACTGACTGGGAACAAACAACAAGAGGGTCGGGCGAGGGGGCAGGGTGGATTAAGTGGAGAGGAGAGTTGGGAAAGGAAGAGAGATGGGATGTGGGCTGTCGGAGGAAACATGGGTTGCAAATATGTACTTGGTTCCATTCATGTAAAGAAGGCCTCTTGAGCATGTACTAGGTACCAATACGTACAGGTTGAGAAACCAAATATAATCCGGCAATTTTGTGTCGAAAACAACCTACCTAATTGGGCTTTAGTCGACTTCTACCTGGTAGTTCTCACGAACTCGTCTACTGACTACCTTGGTCCTCGATAGACGAATTGACAAATCGAATATATATGTAGCAGGTTGGTACAACAGGCGAACGTACTCTGCGAGAGGCCGATGTGAATAGTAAATGTGCTTGTGTCAGCTAGTTAGACACTCGCGTGAACTAAAATTAGGTGTGGTCGTGTAGTCGTAACTAAAGGTGTGAGAGGTTTTCGTTTGCCAGAAAGCGAATCGAACGTTGCAAGGTGTATTCAATGGAGGGGAGTAAGCAAGTATGTCACTTCTGATACTGTGGTTTCCGTTGGGACCAATATTTACAAGACGTTCTGGTCTGGATGGAGTGGTAGCGAACAATTTGAAGCCGGGGTTGAACTTGACACACACCAGACAAAGGAGGGTTGTATCGTGGCGCGAATAGTGAATAGGATATGGGAAAAAATACACGGTAATTGATGGAGAACTTGAATTATTCTTGCTGCAGGCAAGGGAGTAGGATCAATACGATTAGTGCATGTGAAAGTACCGTTGATAAAATAATGTAATGTGCGTTTTCCCATGGGCCCATGGACTGTATTTAACTACTTCTCGACTGGAGCTGGTCACCGTCTGAAATCAGGGTAATGAACATTACAGGAGGGTTCAAGCTTGTTACTAGAATTATGAAATTAAAGTTTGAAGTGATGGATGTTTCGTTCGGATTATCAAAGACCGGGTGGTTGGCTTGTGGTTGGCTTGTGGTCAAGCATTTTGTCAAAATGTTTACAAGGCTCAAGGCTCCAAGGTCTCTCTAATGGGTTCAGTCCCAACGCTTTGGATGAGATGCAAAAAGGGCTCCGCAGTTAATCTTTCTAGAAGCTTGAAGGATTCTATCGTTGATGATGTGTATCTGTAGATGTGGAGATGTATCGACCTTATTTGTGACCTGCTTGATGTATGAGACAAAATTGAGTATATCTTTCCTTTGCAGTCTACATCATGCTTCGGATGCGTTTACTATACTACCGGAATCCTTTAACATGATAGATCATATGATAAATATACGGTGAGATGAAACCAAAACAGCTCTCCTTTTTCTCGTTCGCCAAATCCAAGCGGTGAGCCCCGCCAAATCTGCCGACGTTGTGCGGCGAACGGAACCAACGGAACATAACGATTCAGAGAAGCGACAGTGTGTTGGATTCGAAGGAAAGGTCTCGACCTTGGAAAGATTAATATAGAAGGTTCTATGCTTTCTTCCCTTCCCTGAGACGTCTCGTTAATGGATCTTGACAGATTTCTCTACCACCGTGGCTCATTTAAATTGCCCTCGAGTCGTGCAACCTCGGTCCCTGATGGAGATGGGGTTTAGAATATCAAGTAGTTGTTTGAAGACTGTCAATCATTACTGAGTATCGCGGTCAATCCAAGAGCGTTAAATGCTTCAATGTGGACATACCATAAGCTATGGATTCGTATAGCTCACTCTTGCTCATTTCGATGTCATGGCGACTATCGTTCGCCAGGAAATCGCTGTGTCAATAAGTTCGGAGGCAATATTTAATATATCATATATGCAGCTTGATAACTCGAATTATTACCCGTACGGAGTAAAGCATCTAATAACCAATTCAAGAGGCAAAAACCCTGTCATCCGAATAACTTGTGGACGTGTTCGACGTACGAAGTTGTGGATTGTATATTACAGCCATGATCCTAACTGCTTGTACACGAATCGTGTCCATTGCTAGAGCAGAACTGTAACGCCAAACGCCTAGAGTTCGGCAGGTAAAGTTATGAACGGCAAGCGGTCAGAAGTTTAATCAGCAAGAAGACATCAAGATTCAATGTACAGAGAGTATGCCTCTGGATCCATGATGTCAGAGAGCAAACTCAATATCTTACTCTGTATACTTTACGCCAATCAGTATCTATATCTGATTAACAGGACGGGAAGACGACAAGTAGTCGTACGATGCGAGGGATGAAATCCAATCCGATCCGAATTATTTCTCTTTTGAGAGATCTATCATAATCGTTGTTTGACAGCTTGGATGAAGGTTAAAATTATCGGCTCTACTAGGTTGACTTTTTAGATTTGACTAGGAGGCTGACTCGCAAGTCCCTACCTATTTATTATACATCCTCGAGACATCGTATCGTACGTACGCCAAATCTAGCACGTGATGACAGTTCTTGGTATCGATAGCTGAGCTGAAATGGTTCCAATACCTAGGTACCTAGTGGTTTAAGGAATGCTCTAATGGAGGGGTAGCAGAGGTTGAAGAAGTTTGAAGATAGACAAAGTCCAAGCTAATGCCAAAGCCAAAAGCCAAACGCCGAACTTTATGTTCGTTATTATCGGGGCAAAACGTCCGCTGCTGCACATCTATCTCATGGGAATGAAGATCTTAGAAAAGACCGACGGACATGTATGTTCTATGGCCAATGGTCAACCCATTCCACTCGGTACTTTCATGGTTCACGTCTAGGTACAGTAGGATGGATCGGATCTGCATAGAAATGCTTCTCGTCTTTCTTTCCTTCTCAAAAATCATTCCGTATTGCATCATGACTGATATCTTGTGTACTACCGGTACATATATATCATTTCATTCCACTCCAGTATCAAACTCAACATCACATCAAAATCAGGATATTGTGTTTGCACGTGACGACGAAGGGAATTATCTCGGGAATCGTGATTCGGGATCCCATCACATAAGGTTAACTTACGATGTAGAAATTTTACATCATCATATGGCTGCAAGGAGCTTACAAACTGCCAAACTGCGAAACTGCATCATACCACCATTTTCCGAATATAAAATTTCTCGGGCTTTGAAAATGGAAAACGGTATGAGAAAGTTAATAAATATACCAGAGGTACCTACCGACTATATAAAAGAAGAAGAAGAATTAATTCCTTTTTGAAAAGAATAAATCAACAATAATATCAATATCAATATCAATATCACATCTCTACATCATACTAACATTTTCTCGGGATTTGATTCTAACCCCCTCCCCACTTCTTTAAAGAAAGACTTTTGAACGACATCATCGACTGACAGCTTATTAACGACCCATTTTCACGAAAACGAAACGTACGATCGATTCAAAATTACTACAAAACACAAGCAACTGCAAATATAAAATCATCAACAAGCAGTCTATTCAAGAACAACCATCAATTTACCTTTCCAAAGCTTCTTGCAAGAATCAATCTCCATATTTCCCCTCAATTCGATCTCCAGCCCACGAGGAAATAGCTTGCCACAAGAGAATTTCATCAAACCCGCCAAATCTACCACATATAAAATATGAAGATTCTTACCAAGGAAGAAGAGGCTGAGCACTACAATGCTACTTTAAAGGGTGGTATTACAGGAGGTTTCGTTGGTCTCGCAATGGTACATATTCAATCGCATTCTCCAAATCTCACTCAAACAAAACTGACCGAATCTCTCAGGGTGGCGCCGCACTCTATGTGGCCAACAGACGATTCCACACCATCCGCAGTCTCACCATTCCCATGAAAAGTTTCCTCGTCTCATCATCCGGTACTTTCGCCTCCATCATCAGCGCGGATCGCGCATCTCGCTCATACGAATGGAATCGCGACCCCTCGCGAAATTACAAAGACAAATCGACGCTCCTTTTCGAACAGGAAAAAGCGAATGAAACTACTGCGCAGCGTCTCAAGGCATGGGGGAAAGAAAACCGTTACTCAATCGTTACCGCATCGTGGGTGGCCAGTATGGGAATCGCCTTTGGGATGGTTTCGAGAAACAAATATTTGACTGGAGCCCAGAAGTTGGTACAAGCAAGAGTTTATGCGCAAGGGTTGACATTGGCTGTATTGGTTGCATCAGCGGCATTCGAGATGGGAGATGCGAAGAAAGGAACAGGAAGGTGGGAAACGGTTACGGTGTTGGATCCCAACGATCCGGAACATAAACATTTGATTCAAAAGAAGATTCACCACGAAGCTTATGAAGGAGAGGATTTATGGCGTGGTATGTTCCAATCATTTTCAGAGTGCTTTGACCAAAATGTAAATCTATACTAATCGATATACATAGATATGGTAGAAGCTGAAGAACGCCGCATTAATGAACGCAAGAGAGCAGCGGAAGAAAGAAATCACTCCTCGAGCAAAACATCCTCGGGTAAAGAAAACAAGGATAAAATCTCTAGGGAGATGAAGAGTGCTGGAAAAGTAGCATTTGCAGATGCCAAGGAAAGAGAAGAGAAGAACCAGGCCGAGCAGGCTGAAAAGGAAGCGGATGCAAAAAACGAGTCGGCACAGTCTGAACCAAAAGTGAATGGTAGAAATAAGATCTAAAAATGGAGGGTTTCGCTACCGAATCTTTCTAGTGTTTGTATAGGCATTGGATGGCGCGCTGCGTGATTTCTGGATGACAGAAGGGGGTAATTAAAAAGGGGGGTGTTTGGAGAAGGGGTCGAGTAATTTTTTATAAACTCCGGTTCTTGTATCATTAGAATGACAAACAAACATGTCTCATGTAAATTGCGTTCATTCAAGATTATCCTCAATATCTGGCAAGCGCCAATCAAACAAGTCGAATTCCT